ATGATTATATATATATGATTATAAAAAGTGAAATCTAACACATACACACACACACACACACACACACACAGAATCAGAGATCGAAGAGGGTGAGGATGAGGATAAGGACGACGTCCCTGATCTCCGACTGCCGCAACTGGATCTTCTAGATCTGGGCTCAACTCTAGTCGTCGAATGGCGGAGACGGTAGTAGAATGGCAGAGGTGGTGGTGGAGGAATGGTGAGAGAGGGAGGGGAGAGAAGCTACAATTGACTCTCGTCGTCGAATGGCAGAGGCGGTGGTGGAGAAGTGAGTAAGAGAGGAAGGGGAGAGGAGCTGCGATTCTGCGAAGAAAGACAGAGAGACAGAGAGAAAGAGAGAAAGAAAGAAACCGAGAGAGATGAGATGAGAGGCGGTGTGTGTTTTAGGGTTTGGTTTATATATATAGGGGTATAATAGTAATTTCAAATCGGGAGAAACGGGGACGGGCACAGGGCTAGGACACTTATCCCGGTCCCTGAAACTAATCGAGAATTGATTTTTGAATACCATCCCCCCCCGGTCGGGGATATTTTTCAAAAAAAAACGGCTCAAATCGGGGTCGAGGGGTCGGCTCTCCTTCGGGCCGGGTTTAAATTGCCATCCCTACCTCAAGCTGGTGTGAAGATATTCAATAATCGCAGCTTGCCAATGGATGACTAAAAGAAGCCGAAAAAAACTCAACGGTTACTCTACAACAGTCCAACATGACCTCTTAAATTGTCCTGACATTGTTTCCAATTAGTTCCTATTACGGTTTGGCATGACCCCGTAAACTGCTCTAACATTAATTCTGGTCAATTCCTACAACGGTCCAACATGACCTTAAACTGTCCCAACATTAATACTTAGCACAATGAAAAAAAGTCTTAGAATTGTGTCCCCTTTTAGCACCCCAAACTCTGTTGGAAGACTCAAAACAAGAAACGTGTAGCAAAGAACAATACCTCTAAAATAGTTGGGCAAATTCCATCAAATAGTTCTCCTATAAAGCCTATGTTGTGCAATACATTTTAAATGATATGAACATAATAAACACACATAATTGTGAGCATTAAGTAAATGCTATTTTCTTGATAGATTTTACGTCACGATCCAAACCCGCCCCTATAGGTTTAGTGTTGTAACCGGCCAATAATTCGTGATTACCAAAGGCCTGTTTAACAATAATAACAATAACATAATAATAGGGGCTGGCGAAAGCTAAACAATAATAGAAAATACCGCCCAATGAGCTGTGGGGACTTAAATGAAAATAAACTTGCATATACATAGGTATATACACAAACACTTAAGTCCATAACACACGTGTACATAACAAAACATAAGCTAGGGAATTAAATCGCATTGCCTAAAGCAGTTAACAAAACTCAATAAGCACTCTTATCTCATAAACACAATGTCAAAAGGGTGAATTTTCACCCAATAAGCCTTGACATACAATGGTTCGGAACCTCGCAGTGAGACACAATAGTTGGCTTGACAAAAACAAGGTTTAGGTCGACGCCGCTAACTCTGATCCGGTGCCCGATCACCTACATATATATAATAAACAATGAGTTAGAACCCAGTGAATAACAACTGCGTAAAGGGGTTATGAATGATATCCTCACAATATTTAAAACAATCGATTATCAATAGAACATTTTCTTAATCAATAACTTGTCCCAATCAATCATTCAATCATTCAATTTAACAATCATTCAGATTCATATAAGTCATACATGGTACATCCAATAGCAACAATACAATTGGTCTTAAAGACCAAACAATCAATTGATGGCCACCAAACAATAGACAATAGTTCCAAAAATTGGAACTAACAGAGATTTCTGTAACAATAGCGATACCAATATCAATAATAATAGCAATATGCTATAGACGCCAAGAATACAGTTCAGAAAATAGGATCATCATTCAGTCAATAAAAAGTATCACTTCAGAAACCAATATAATTTATCAATTAGAAAATAAATACAATTTGAACATATCTTTACAACAGTGTTACTCACAGTGAGCTTTTCGGTACACGTACTAATGGTTTGACGTCTGACCTAAACAAATAAACTCAAGCACAACACAATTAAAATCACACTCTTACAATTCTATTCAATTTGATCGTTCGATCTCTATTCGTTTTCTCTCATTTGATTCTAATTTTTCATTCGGTTATTCCTATTTATTTTTCTTCTATTCTTTTTAAATATGGATGACTAGTATTACGAATAAATTAGATTATTAAGTTCCAATTAAAATATGTTCAGCTATGTATTAACCAAACTAATTAAATGTAAATAATCTAATCATATACCAACCCTTATTAACTTCACTAATTACACAATCAAACTTAAATTAGGCTCATACACATTAAATTACAATTATTCAATCATGTTTAAATTACTGAATCAGAAATTCATAAATATGTACATTTTGCAATTTTAACTCCATTTTCAAGTAAATCAAGGCCCAAATAATTAATCTTTACATTTATTTCCATTACCTTAAGCTTAACTCAATTTCAATTAAGTTTAATTAATTCTCAATTAAGGCTTAAATTATCATGCTGCTTCATACAATTTTCCATCTTTGAGCTTCAATCTTCAAATCCCATAAAAAATTCCCTTCGACTTTGAAAACTCATACAAGAGAATACATAGATGATCATGAAATTCAAGAATTATGCCATGCATGGTAAGGTTTAAAAATTAATGCATCTAATTTCTTATTTCTATGATATATATTCTCATCTCTAATTTTACTTCAAGACTTGTAATGTATAATCATAAACATTGCCATATTAAGTCTTAAATTCTCAATTCCCATGGATTTTTCTCTTCAATTTGGAGGTTCATGCAAGTACATGAATGTTTGATCAAGAATAATTAAGAATCTTGCCATGCATGTATCAATTTCTATCTATATCAACAAATCTTAAATAAACTTATAAATTCTTTAAACATTCTTGAATTTCCTTAAGTTATGAGTACATTACTTCCATTCCATAAGATTCAAGAGAGGAGTTCTTACCTAGAGTGAACAATTTGAGTTGTCTTGAATGTTTTTCCCTAATCCTCTCTTCAATTTCTTCTTCTTCTAATCTTTGGTGAACTCTCAAATGTTTACTCTCCCTTTCTCTCTCTACGTGTATTGCATGAGAAGCCCCACAAGTTCTCTACTTTAGTCCATTGATGAGTGAGATTTATTTATTATTCATTTCTTTTATATATATATATCATCTTATTCTTCAAAGTTAATAATAAATCACATTAATTAATGTAAATCAAATTCAATCACTTAAATTAATTCTCATCATTTTATGATCTGAATTACACTAAATTAAATTATACTAAAGTGAATTAGGATCTAATTCTTATCCAATTATCTAATTCTAACTTGTTAAAATTAGCGAATCAGACAGGTTTAATTTTCATTCTAACCTATCTGTTCAAACAATACAAGTCAATAAATCTCATAACAATCAATAACACTTAATCACATAATTAACATGTAAGAACATAATTAATAGTTCCAATTAAGGCTCAATTCAATCACAGAAAATTTCAATAAACTGAATCAATTTTTAATTAAATTTCCCAAATGGCTCTAAAAATTCCCATAAGTCCGTCCATGTACTCAATTTCAATTGGTGCACCCAATAAGATTGTCGATTTCAGTTTCAAAGTTGTAACCTTAACGGACAATTTTCCAATTTGGACAGATATGCACAAATTAAATTACTAGGCACTTAGTTCAATTAGAATTAACACATAATTAATTAATTAAAATCACGATTAGCATGTTTGGGTCGTCACATTTTACTTCCAGCAATTGTGATTTGACTCAAAACCATACATTGTTACTCTTATGGATACTTTGTTCAATTGATCAATTTGGTACAATCACATACTCTTAGGCCTTGTTTATTGTCTGGATTGGACATAAGGGGTTGAGATATATAATACTGGCAGATATAGGATGAGATATAATATGTTTAGGATATGAGATGGATTATATATATTATGGGATCATTTATACTATATTTGGTTAGGGTTGGATATATAACAAGAGAGTGGTTATTTTTTACTGTTAGATGAATACTAGCTCATATCCTATGGTACGGGATATGTAATACTATAGGGGGTGTGGTATTGCATATCCTATACTTTTGAGGAATATAATATACCACCAGATTTCATATCCGGTAACCAAACAAATAATATAAAAAGGTGGAACTCACAATTTTTTTTCTTTTGGTCTCGTATCCGATCAAAGTGGTATATCTCTCCCATTATATACCCCAAACAAACAGAGCCTTATATAATTCTAAGATCCCATGTGGTTATTTGTTATTTTTAAAGCAAGACGAGAAAAATAATCTTGAGGCATTGATTGAAGTTCATTCCATACTCACAGTGCCAATAAGATGATGAAGATGGCAGTCGTAAGTGGCTTTGTCCATGTAAAGGGACTGGTCAGTGACTGAGAAAGTAGTTGCGTTAATTTGGATGGAAAAACAAACCATTGCAGATAATTCATGACTACGGGGTTAAGTGTCACAAACTAAATACATCCATGGTTTCATTTTTGAGGCCTAGCCACAAGGGGATAAAATGTAATTTATCCTTTTTATAAAATACTAACATTGTAAATAGGACAAATAAACAAGGTAAAGAACATAGTGAATATCCTATTCAAACGTCCAAAAACAACACCAAATTTTGCTATACGAATCACAACACTTACCTCTGAAAGCAAGTAAAGCAAGGACTGAACATGGTTTCGAGATATAGAATCGTCAATCAACGCCCACGTCTTATCCCTCATCAACTCCAAAAATTTCTCTGAATCGAATTGGGGAAGCTCACAATCTCGCGGATTCCACCTCCAATACAAATACCCAGTGTCCGGTCTCCCATTCTTCAGACAATTCTGATGACTCTCAATTAAATGGCAACTCTCATTATTGTAAACAGGACCAAATGCGTTTGGGATCCAATCGCCAGTAAAAAGATAAAAAAAAAAAAAAAGAAAAGAAAGTGGAGTGGGGAACATGAGTGTAATGAAAAAGAAAAAATATAGGTGGGAGAATCTGAGTATCGTGGGGAACAGGAGTGTGGGGAAAGAATAAAAAAGAAAAAGTATAGATTGGAGAGTGGGTCACATGGGAGAGAGAAAAACAACACACATATGCATGTGCTCTCTCTCTGTCCAGCGTTGACGAATTCACTTGTACCGGTACTCGTTGTTGCAGAGACGTTTACAGTTAATGAACAGTCATAATTAGCCCATCCGATCCATTGGCCAGCCAGATCATAAACTACGATCTTGTCTTTCAGTACAAGGTCTCCTAAAATTGTTATCCCTTGGCCTTTAATTTTCTGGAATCCAATGCACCACACTGCAGCACCACCAATAGAAGTTTGCTGTAGAAAGTAGTCCTCGGGTTTGAGAATCATGGATGCACCACCAGCAAAGTTTACACTCACTGTTGGAAATATCATAGAGATGCTGGATGCGATTAGATAACACTGAATTCCTTGGGAAAGAATGAGCTGTTTGATAAAAAAATGTCAAGAAGATTCTTGAGTTCCTTCAGAATGATTTCCCAGACATGGATGTCATTGGCATCTCTGGAAACTTTTGCTCGGATAAGAAGCCAGCAGCAGTGAACTGGATTGGAGGGCGTGGAAAATCAGTTGTTTGTGAAGCAATCATCAAAGAAGAGATAGTGAAGAAGGTGTTGAAGACCAACGTGGCAGCTCTTGTTGAGCTTAACATGCTCAAGAACCTTACTGGTTCCCCCCGCCGGTGAAGCAAAAAATACTAAATTCTTAACCTTGCTCTGATACCATGTTGAAATTGATGTATTATTGATTAATGTATGTCATCTATTACAAATGGTGAGGGGCTCCTTATATAGGAGATGTAGTGGAGTAGGTGGCAGTAGGTGGTAGTGGTAGGTGTGTAGTAGGTGGTAGTAGGTGGTGGTAGGTGTAGTAGGTGGAGTAGGTGATGGTAGGTTTTAACAATATACCCCAAACAAACAGAGCCTTATATAATTCTAAGATCCCATGTGGTTATTTGTTATTTTTAAAGCAAGACGAGAAAAATAATCTTGAGGCATTGATTGAAGTTCATTCCATACTCACAGTGCCAATAAGATGATGAAGATGGCAGTCGTAAGTGGCTTTGTCCATGTAAAGGGACTGGTCAGTGACTGAGAAAGTAGTTGCGTTAATTTGGATGGAAAAACAAACCATTGCAGATAATTCATGACTGCGGGGTTAAGTGTCACAAACTAAATACATCCATGGTTTCATTTTTGAGGCCTAGCCACAAGGGGATAAAATGTAATTTATCCTTTTTATAAAATACTAACATTGTAAATAGGACAAATAAACAAGGTAAAGAACATAGTGAATATCCTATTCAAACGTCCAAAAACAACACCAAATTTTGCTATACGAATCACAACACTTACCTCTGAAAGCAAGTAAAGCAAGGACTGAACATGGTTTCGAGATATAGAATCGTCAATCAACGCCCACGTCTTATCCCTCATCAACTCCAAAAATTTCTCTGAATCGAATTGGGGAAGCTCACAATCTCGCGGATTCCACCTCCAATACAAATACCCAGTGTCTGGTCACCCATTCTTCAAACAATTCTGATGACTCTCAATTAAATGGCAACTCTCATTACTGTAAACAGGACCAGATGGGTTTGGGATCCAATCGCCAGTAAAAAGATCACACTTTTCTGCTTTTAATTTTTCTGAGTAAACAAGCACAGCTTTCAGTATATAATAACAAAATCAATGGTTTACTAGGAAAGTAAAGATTTTAGGAAAAGTTAAAGTGCCAGGTCTCTGCATTTATGTTTTCTATGTAAACAAACACGACTTTCAGTATTACAACAAAATCAATCTTTTACTATGAAAGTAAAGATTTTAGGGAAAGCTAAAGTACACAACCCAATCAAGGATTGTAACATTAGATCAATCAAATTTGCAAGTAAACTCAGAGAGAACCCAAAAGAATCAGCATTTCGAATCCACATTAGAGAAAAACCCAACAAAAATTCACTCTGTTTGGTTGTGTTTTTGTTTTTTGCTTTATGTTTTCATTTTCTGAAAACAACCCTTTTTGTATTCTCCAAAAAATTAAAACAGAAAGCAAAAAAATGGAAACACAACCAAACAAATTTGCAGATCTCTACGAACTGAGTTCATCAATGCACAGTCCACTTCTTTTATTTCCTCTGCTGATTTGAATTTCTTAACAATTGCGACTGATCAAAGAAAAACCAAGTAAAAATAAGAGAAACCCAATCCATAATAGCCAAAAAAAAATGAGTACCACTTTGAGGAATCTAATCTGAATCTTCCATAAAATGGACAGAAACTTATGGTTCTGGGTTCATTGTCTTCTCAATAGAATTTGGACAGATATGCACAAATTAAATTACTAGGCACTTAGTTCAATTAGAATTAACACATAATTAATTAATTAAAATCACGATTAGCATGTTTGGGTCGTCACATTTTACTTCCAGCAATTGTGATTTGACTCAAAACCATACATTGTTACTCTTATGGATACTTTGTTCAATTGATCAATTTGGTACAATCACATACTCTTAGGCCTTGTTTATTGTCTGGATTGGACATAAGGGGTTGAGATATATAATACTGGCAGATATAGGATGAGATATAATATGTTTAGGATATGAGATGGATTATATATATTATGGGATCATTTATACTATATTTGGTTAGGGTTGGATATATAAGAAGAGAGTGGTTATTTTTTACTGTTAGATGAATACTAGCTCATATCCTATGGTACGGGATATGTAATACTATAGGGCCATGTTTGTTTGGGTGGACATGAGTTTGGGATTGGACTAATAGTCCAATAAAATTATTAATCCGATGTTTGGTTAAACAATTGAAGTACGGATTAATTATTTTAAACTTGACTATTAGTTAAGATAAGATACATAATCCAACGGATTCGTAGTCTTAGGACTATTGGTCATGGGAATGTTAATCCAGTCCGTCCAAACAAACATGGCCCTAGGGGGTGTGGTATTGCATATCCTATACTTTTGAGGAATATAATATACCACCAGATTTCATATCCGGTAACCAAACAAATAATATAAAAAGGTGGAACTCACAATTTTTTTTCTTTTGGTCTCGTATCCGATCAAAGTGGTATATCTCTCCCATTATATACCCCAAACAAACAGAGCCTTATATAATTCTAAGATCCCATGTGGTTATTTGTTATTTTTAAAGCAAGACGAGAAAAATAATCTTGAGGCATTGATTGAAGTTCATTCCATACTCACAGTGCCAATAAGATGATGAAGATGGCAGTCGTAAGTGGCTTTGTCCATGTAAAGGGACTGGTCAGTGACTGAGAAAGTAGTTGCGTTAATTTGGATGGAAAAACAAACCATTGCAGATAATTCATGACTACGGGGTTAAGTGTCACAAACTAAATACATCCATGGTTTCATTTTTGAGGCCTAGCCACAAGGGGATAAAATGTAATTTATCCTTTTTATAAAATACTAACATTGTAAATAGGACAAATAAACAAGGTAAAGAACATAGTGAATATCCTATTCAAACGTCCAAAAACAACACCAAATTTCGCTATACGAATCACAACACTTACCTCTGAGAGCAAGTAAAGCAAGGACTGAACATGGTTTCGAGATATAGAATCGTCAATCAACGCCCACGTCTTATCCCTCATTGTTAAAATCCACCTACTCTCCACCTACTTCACCCACTTAAACCTACTCCACTAAACCTAACCCAATACACCACTACCACCTCACCTACTCCACTAAACCTAACCCACTACACCACTACCACCTCCACTTCACCTACTCCTTACCTACTACACACTATTTGTTTTCACTATAAAAATCTCTCTTGAGGTTTGGCCCATGTATGGAGATCTTCTTGATAGTGAGAAGTGATACTTGACCTTTATTTTAACTGATGTATCTATAGTAACTGATGTATCCTGCTTTAATGCCAAGTCCTTCACTTGCAAGCTTCAAATGTTATAGACTATAGAATACCCTTTCTGCCATGATCTCAAACGATGCCACCAACTCTTTTTTTCCCAAGAAATACAAGAATTGTAACTCATTGGTATGGGTTGAACTCTTTTCCAATCAAAGTGGGATTTCCCCCCTACAGTTTCAATATGGTTGGGACTTGGGAGGGAGAAAAATGGTCAATACAATTATTCCTTGTGGAAATGGCTAATTTGCTTCGTCAAGTGTTGTTCGTGTTTTACCTCTTGCATCCAAATTCTATTGATTGATTTTAGGGATTTTGGTATGAACAAGAAAGCGTGGTTGCTTTGGAAGAATTGTGTTGCCCTGGCCATGTTTTTGGAGATTTGGTTGGAGAGGAATACTAGATTTTTGATGATAAGTTTAATTGATGAATGGGAGATTTGGGATAAGATATGTCATATAGCTTCTTTTTGTTTTTTGATTTCATCTCCTTCTGAGGGGATTTCATTATTTTTGATCAGTAGAGATTGGTTAACAGTTTGTGTCATGTAATTTTGTTTTTGTTTTTGTTTTTTTTTGGTGTGTGTGTGTGAATTGCTTATCTTACATTTCCCTATGTACTCATTTATTTCTTATGTTTTGTTTTTGGATAAATAAGCAACTTTATTGAGTAAGCATCAAGACGATCCAAAAGAATACAAAAATGAAACCCCCAAAACGGGGAAACTCGAAACAGCTCATTTATTTCTTATGTTATTAACATAATTATCTTCGCCGATAAAAAAAATGTCTTTTCCCTGTGCAATATGTTATTTCCTCTGCTGATTTGAATTTCTTAACAATTGCGACTGATCAAAGAAAAACCAAGTAAAAATAAGAGAAACCCAATTCATAATAGCCAAAAAAAAATGAGTACCACTTTGAGGAAT